CTTATTTGATAATCACTTTTTTCCACTATTTTTATTTTAATCGAAATTCAAACCCCCCATTGTCCAGTCGGTCGGTTAACAACAATACACGAATCCTCACGATACGACATCCGAGTGTCGCTTCCCGTTACTACTGTTTTAAAAAATACTCGTTTTTGATCCGTGCGCGACAACGGATCAACCGTCATGATCTGATCATTTCAATTTATTTCAGATAATGATTTAGTACTTTCAATGAATGATGCATAATTATGGTATCAGATTAAAACATCAAGTTGTCACATGAGTTAAGTGGGAGATTGTAGGATTAATTTATTAATCTATTAAAAATTACTCATGTAAATTAAAGATTGACTTAAATAAAATATACCTCAATGCGATGATTGTTTAGGTTGATGGATAATTAAGTCAATGAGGTTTTTATTTTTAATTTCAAAATAAAATTTAAATCGCTCTTCTCTCTTTTCATGGCTATTTAGACATGACTGTTAATATAAGATGCCTATAAACAGGGACCACTAAAAAAGAAACAACAACGATTCTCATTCTCTCTGATTATCCCACAAACAAATAAATGAAAAAATATCTTAATCATGAAAGATGCATAAGGAAGAAGGAAGAGAGAAGAGAACAATTTAGATCAAGAACCAAGAATTGGAAATGAATCGACGACATAGATTTGAGTACGTTTTCAATGTTTTTCATAGAAATTAAAGTATTGTAAAAACCATGATATCAAGATTTAAAACATGAAATTTTCTAAGATATACATGAATAATATCCTATAGAAGTATAGAAAGATGTATACAAATGGTTGATACATGAAGTAAAGAACTATTAAACTATTTGGAGAACCCAACCACTCCAGACAAGTTTAAGTGAAATCAAATGGCACTTAATTACTTAATAGTGAATGGAAATTTGTATAGAATTTGGGTTAATCATGTTTTACATAAGTATGTAGGAAAGACAAAATCTCTAGAAATCATATGAGAGGTTTCTAAAATACTTTGTGGATCCCAGAAGGCGAGTTCCATGATGAAGTTGTTAATCCATAATCAAGGTTACCAATAGCTAACCATAACAAATGATTGCTTCCAATTTTCTATAGGGTGCATGATACACTAGTTGCACGCTTCGAATTTTGTTTGGAGAAGACTTCTTTTTATTAACTGAAACACAGTATGAAAAAATCACAACCTGATTACACTCTCTGAAAAATCTCCACAATAACATTAAATACCTAATGTATTGCTTCACAACAAGAACTCACAATCTTTCTAAAGTTGAGAAAAACTATTCAATTGTGTTTTTGTTTGAAGTTTAATATGATGTTTTAGAAAAATCTCACACAAAAAATGTTTTTCACTCAAGAAATTATTACTTAAAAAAGTTTTCATTCAAGGTTTATTTGAGAGAGATTTTTGTATGAATGATGAACACTAAAAGTTTTTGAAAAGTTATTGTGATGTTCATACAAAATTAGTGAGAGAAAGATATCATCTATATGTTAGAGATGAGACACAAAAATAGTGTAAAATTGTCCATTTAATTTGAGTCAAAGACAAAAGGAGTGATTCAAATATAATAAGAGAATTATTTGAATGAAAGAGGCTTTATCTTCAAACTCAACCTCCCTTATAAGGCTCAACTGCACCTCAAGCCATCATAACCTCAGAAGTAACGAAAGTAGAAGAAGAAGAAGTTAGAAGAGGGTAGAAAAGAAGGAGAGCATAAGTAAAGAAGAAAAAGGGAAAGTTGCATGCATTTTTGTCATCGCCAAAAATCGCATCCACCGTGCCGGAGTTTGAAGACACCTGTCGAAGTTTTAGTTGGTAGTTTTTTCTTTCTCATTCGTTGTTATTTACTTGATTTATCTTTTCCCTTTGATATTATGTTGTATTTGGTTTTTAATCGAACGATTTAATGAAAAAATGGGGTTAGGGTTTCTACAGGGTGAAGGGTTTGATCTATGTTTGATTATTGTTATTTTGTGTTTTCGACTACTAATTCATGCTTAGGAGTTAGTTTTAGGCTTGGTTTGTGTTTAATTTTTTTTTTTTTTGGAATTTTGTTTGTTCTGCAGAAATCTGGTGAAGGCGATGAAGAATATTCACATGTTCTTGCTTTTCTTCATCGCGTTCTGGGTTTTTTATTGCCTTTGACCTAAAAGATGATGAGAGACACTTTATTTGGTTGTTAGTGAGGAGGTAATTGGAAAACAATGAGAGGGAAAGGGAAAGGTTCAGCAAGAACTTCACTAAAATACACCTTCTCTCTATTTTCATCAATTGACCACATGGCTCTCTATCTTTCCTTTGATAAGTGAAAATCAGCATTAGCCACAGGACCCTGTGTAGGGAGCCCCATTGTGCATCCTCATCCTTGTGCCTTTAGATCAGATGGCCACGCGCTAAGGAGTTCCTCCTCCCTTCTTGGGGATCGCGTGGGCTTAGGATTCCCATTTTTCATGTTTCACAAATTTTGAGATTTGAGATCCTTAGAGCTTAGGATTCTATGCATTCAACACTCACGCGTGTAAAATTTAATTTCATAATCTCGTAAATTTCTCTTCCTTTAGGGTGTGTTTGGTTCGGGGTAGATGGAGGGGAGGGGAGGGGAGGGGAGGGGAAATTTTTAATTAAATATGTTTGGTTCAAATTTTAGGAGGGGAGGGGAGGGGAGGGAAGGGGAGCAAAATCCCTCCAAAACACACTTTTTGATTCCCTCCGAATTGGAGGGATTTGGAGGGGAGGGGAGGAAATATTAGTTTTGATATTTAAAAATTATTATATTTACTAAAATATCCTCAGTTTAATTTTATTATTTCAAAACTATTTGTTATCTTTTATGTTACTGTTTTTTCTCGATTGTTTTCATCAATTTATTATAATTGTTCTTCACCTTCAAATTATTTTATAATTTTTATAATTAATATAAACCATAATCATTGTCTTTTTTTTTATAAAAAAAATTATGTTTCGTTATATTCGTTTTTTTCTTTTAATTTTGTTATGTACTCTATCATATTTTCTTTTATATCAAATTGTAAACCATATCATTTTATTTATTTTTGTTTATTCAATTTATTAAATATTTTGAACCATTAATATTTAGTAATAAGTTATTTTATAAATTTGTTTTGTTATATGATTCATCACAATTTAAACGATGTTATTGGCATATAGTTTAATTTATGTTGGAAAGTTATAAGTCGAATCGATTGTACTCAATTTTTTAACTTTAGTGACAAATAAATATTTTTTTAATCACTCAATATTAGAAATTTGATTACCAACAAAAATACGCACGGATTTTTCACATTTTAATATCATATGACTTATATAAGATCATAAGGATAAAAATGTAAATTATTAATAAAACTCCTCCCCTCCCATTCTGAACCAAACACATTTTTAATTAAAATCCCTCCCCTCCCCTCCCCTCCTCTCTTTTGAACGAAACACTTATTTAATTAAAAAATTCCTTCACCTCCCCTCCCCTCCCCTCCCCTCCATTAAAATCTCTCCCCTCCCCTCCCCCTCATTTGAACCAAACTGACCCTTAACAAAATCGAAATGAGAGAGGAAAAAATAAGACTTAAAAAACACAATAAATTATAGTAAAATGAATCAAATATGCATTCACACAAATATTTGCACATTATAAGCCTTAAACTTAAAAAAACACACAATTAAATTCAAAAAATCTCAAACACACGCAATTTTTGAAAAAGATGTCGACAAAAGGATAAATCATACATGATATGCGAAATAGAAAGGCAAAACCAACGACATGCAAACATGCACGCGTGCAGGTGCGCGGACGTGGACACACACATTAGAACTGTTCTAGACCAGCCAAATGCCCTATTGTTTCTTTTCGATTGATTATATTATGCAAAACAATATGAATTATGTTCAAGTTGTTTTAGTGCAGAAGAGACACATATGAAACATGATATTCTAACATGTCTAGAGAAATATTATTGTAATTTTAATTTAGATTTATTTAATTTAAAATTCACTTTACAAAGAAGATTTAGAATTCACCAAGATAATTAATTTAAATGTTATGGTGCAAGGTACAAAACACCCTACAATGAGAAAGCTATTAAGAATCTCAATAAAGCCATCTCAATGACCAATACATTCTAAGGGAAAACTAAACTTTGTTAAGTCTCTTGAGATTTAGAATTTTTTTAGCAAAAGTTTGATTATAGGAGAAATTTTGTAGAGTGAATGGAATATTAAGCGGTCTTTACCTGTTATCTTATAGCATGTACTTTTTTTTATTTTGACACAATCTTATAGCATGTACTTGATAACTATGTTTCATGCCATGGTAAGAGACATCACCTGTAGTATAATTAACAACTTCTTTTTTCTTTTTTTCTTTTTTTCTCAGTTTTAAAAACATTTCGTGTGGAACATAGGGAATGAATACTAAAAGCAAGTTAAAGGCAAGGACAAAAAATGCTTTGGGTCTATCGTCTCTCTTGTTGAATGTACATATTTCAATTTCAATGCTCGAATTTTCATGGTTGAAGCACTTAGAACTCACAGTATAAAATTGATTTTTTACATGTTTGTTTGAGTAGAATTGAATCTGTTTTTCAAAATTGATTCTTTATTTTAGAATTGATTCTACTTAAAACTGAAATTTGTAGTTTTTAATATGCTGAAATTTTTTTTCAAAGAATTTATTCAAATATATATCACTTTATGTTTAAGTCACTTTTACCCAAATTCAACTTTAAGAATCAGAACCAATTCTTTTTTTGCCACAAACCAAACACACATTGGAGAAATGCTTCTATTACAGCTATAAAGAAAATGTGGGTAGTGTGAAGTACAAAGTTAAACTTTTATTATTGAAACGAAAAACAAACAACATATACAAAGAAGATCACTGATCAGTGAGATTATTCGATCAACATAACCCAAATGGTATGCATAAGTGCATAACATTTATGATATTCTAGTGTTGTTTTGTTTGACTTAAGCCCTTTTAAACACAACCCTAAATGATGGAACTTGATCACTAAGAGCCAAGTGCTTATTGCCACTATCATCAACATATAATCCTAACTCCCTACACAAAGTCTGACACTTACAAACTGAAGGACAAAAAGAAAGCACATAATCTTTATCAGCTTTCTCAATCTTAAACCAATTCACAATTGTATTAATACCTGGATTACCTTCTACACCCCCAGTACTCAAAAACCACACCCCTGACAAAACTTTAAGAAGCTTCCAAACTTGTGATTGAGTGCAGGTAGTTTTTGTTACATAGGACTTGATGTTGAGATCAGTTGAGGTTAGAATCACACCTTGATTAGCATTATAAGGTGTGAAAGTAACTGCTCCACCATTATTTACTTCAAGCTTCTCTTGAACAACATAAAGGGGACATGTGTTATTGTTGCTGTTGAGGTTGTTTACATTTGCGACATTTAAACCACCACCTTTTCCTCTAATGACTGGTAAAATATAATATTTAACACCTGTTATCAGTTTCTTACCTGAAATGTCAAGAACTGGTTCAGGGGCTGCAATAGTTTTGCAAATGAAAGCTAAATATATGATGCAAAATGCTAAGATTGAAGCCTTCATGGTTCTCTATTCTCTACAGAATTACAAGAATGGATCAGATGAATGAGTTTTGTGTATTGGTATAGAAAGAGTATATCTCTATTTATAGGACTTAAAATTATAGAAAGGAAAACGTTTTACATCTGATATATAAAAGCTCAAGGCATATCCAAGGAAAATGGCGGTGGCCGCTAACAGTTGTAAGCAGTGCTATCCAGACATGTTAGCCCATAAGCTTCACGTGTATATGTCAGCCATGATTATTGACTAGGTGGACTACAAAAATAATAGCTGTCAATAGTTTACCAATATTTTAATGGGAGATTGCATTCACCACTAGGTGGTCCCTTCAAGTATGACACGGAGAGGGATTGAGATATTTTCAAAAGAGACTTTAGGAGGACATCAATGTATTTTCCCAAATAGTTTAAGATAGTATCAAAAGAAACTAGAATGAGATTTACATGGTAAATTATTTATGCTGATAATGATTTCGTGGTACAAATTATTTATGGTGAAATTGAGGAAGATAAACAAAAGTTAGGCCACACCAAGACTCTAACCAAAAATCAATTTTAGCCCCATCATGAAGGAGCCAAATAGAGTTGTCCATAATCAATTGGAATTTGTGCTTGATGCTGCTCTAGATGGAAGAGTAAATATAATGACCAATGACCTTTTTCTTTGTAAACACTCTATGATTTAACAAGTTAGTCCAATGTTCTTGAGAGTGAAAAACCTCCCAAGCTCCAAGTCAAATGTTTCATTAAGTTTAGATAGACCCCTAATGCCAAGGCCACCCTCAGAGGAAGAGGAACAAGCTTTTGGCCAAGAGACAATGGCCAATTTCTTTTTAGTGATGTCTTGACTCTAAATGAAATTTCTCATCCACAAGTCAACCTGTTTGATAAGATTATTAGGCCAGAAATAAATGAAAATGCTATGAAGAAGCATAATATGAATGACATTTCTCACAATCTTAACTCTCAAGCTATGGAGATAAGAGAAGGTTTCAAAGTTGACAGGTTGTTTTTGATTTTGTCAGGAATAGGTTTAAGATGCTTGGATTTAGGTTTCTCTCTAATGATAGAAATCTCAAAGTTCTAACTATAGACTGCAAGTTAGGAGAGAGGGTTGAATTAAGTTTTAAGAAATATTTTTCATTATTTTGCATATGTTTGATTTCTTTTATTTTTTTCGAAAGAACAATGACGAACTATGTAGAAAAATATAGGTGAGGTAAAGTAATTGAGACAAGAAATATCACGGTTCTCTTTTTCAAAAAAAAGTAGTCTAGTCTCTCGATACCTAGTGAAGGTTTTTACTATCTTAGATCTTTGTATGACCTCAACTCAAGACTATCCAATAGTATACTAACACAACACATCAAATCTATGGTGGACTTTGAATCTCCCTGATTCAAAGGAACTTTTATAACAATCACCAAACACAATGGTAATTATCACAAAAATAGAAAGTACACTACTTTGTATTTACACAAACTTATCACCACACACTCTGGTGATTACCTGACAATACACTTTGAACAATTTGAATTTGAATAACTCTTGAAGTAATTCTAAGGTAAAAGTTGATCTTCTCTTTCTAAATATTACACTTCAATCATATAGACATTAATTGCTCAATATTTTTTTATGAAACTCTTTGAATGATTAAAAGTTATGCCTGAAGTTTTTTTTTATTAAAGTTTGTATGAACCCTTGAAATTGTTTGAATTTATGAGAAAATAAATAATAAAAGAAGTTAATTTGAATTTTTATGTAGAAAACCTTAAATACATGTTAGCAACCCCTATGAATAGATGTATAAGAATAGAGGGGTTTCATGATGCTTTCCAATCTCAAAAGTCGTCATTGCTTGATAAAAGAAATGTAGATTTTTGTGTGGTAATCGATCACAATAAGTAGAAATCGATTACCAAGTTCCAACAACTTCTTTTTTGAACTTTTAAGACAGGTAATCGATTACCAAAGAACCATGGTAAAAAATTGAAGTCTTTGAAAGCTTAGCAAATATTACACAAAATAAGAAAATTGTAGGGTTTCTTAAATGTTTTTCCTGAAAGTTTTATTATTGAAGTTTTAGATGCTATAATTTACAAAAAAAGGAGAAGATTAAATTCAAATCAAAATACTTGTTCAAAAATACGTTTATTACGGAGGTTTCCAACGGTCATAATTTACAAAAAAAAATATTTTTTTCTTTTTAAAAATCCTGCTTTGAATGTAAATCATGTATGAATGTTTACGAAACATAGAATGGTTTAGATTAAAATATTGTGAGCATCTAAAACTTGTATACAATAAATTTCCATTGTACCTTAATCTTCATGATTCAATCCTTTGATTTTCAAAGCTAATACAAACTGTAAGTTTTATGGTTTTTGTATTGGCAACATTTTGGTAAAACATACTGCCAGCAAAATGTTAAGCCAAATGTTTTGTCATGTCAGTCAGACATCATGTTCAATATGATGTTGTGACATGTTATACCAGAAAGTTAGGCATGATTGTTTTACTATTTTTAGTGTTTTTGAGTGTGTTTTAATTCACACGTTTGTGTTATCCAAGGAAGGATATTGTGGAAACTTCTGTTTTGACAGATTGTGTTGGTTTTCGTAAAAAGAATCCTTGATCCTTTTTAGGAAACTTTGTATTTTGTTCCTATTATTATGCAGGAGATAATGCTTATCATTTAAAGCCGATTCCTGGTGTTTTTGCGCCTCAAGAGCCCAAGCCCAAGTGGACAGAAGAATATTTAAAGAGAAGACCTAACCCTATTATAACTTAGACATTACATGAAGTTTGAAGCATAAGGATTAGCCGTGTCTTGGTAGGTATTAAAGGGTTTAGTGTGTGTTACTTATATCTCACTAATGTATCTTCTGATGCATTGAGGTAGACTGATTGTTCATTGTTAATTGTCCACTCTAAAGCTTTTAAGCAATAGTGTATTATTCTTAGTTGAAGTTTTTATGCAAAACGAAGTATTGTACTTGGAAGGGTTGGTACTTCTACTTTGGGTAGTTGTTGAATTGTCACTGGTTTGTGACTGATTAGAAAGTGAAAGAGAAATCTCATATCTAGAAGGTGTCTAGGTAGAAGTTGCACAAGGTAGTGATTAAGCGAGAAGTTAATAACGGGGGAGTTTAGCTTTGAACTAATACTATCATAGTGGAGTTTATGTTTTGATGAATTTTAGTTATTTGGTGGATTTTGATTCACCATCCTTCTTACGTATCTTCTCCTTGGTCTCTCTTCGTTGTTTGTGGCTATTTTGCCACTCTTAAATCTCATGCAACAAAGTCTAGAGAGATAGTAAAAATGAAGAACTTATAAAAAGAAATTTTCAAAAAGAAAAATAATTATTCAAACAATAACACTGTACCACCGGGTGTGCCAATTTGTTTACCATGAAAATTGGTAAACAACCACTAGTTTTCCAAAAATTGGTTTACTTGCAGGATCAACCAACGAATCCTAAGGACATAACTATTATTTCAATATTGTTTTGGAAAGTCGAAGAACACTTCGACAATATTCATGTTGTAAAGGTTTGTAATAAAGTTTCAGAAAAAGGATAAACTTTGTATAAATTAGCAAAAGAAATGCAATGAAGAAAACTTCAAAGTAAAAGTGCAGTAAAGAGATAAAGGATAAATGGAAAGTAAACTTCTATTGAAATAAATGTGGCGTTTCAAACGTACATTTCTCAATGAAAAACTCTTTTCTCACTTGACTTAGATACTTTGAGTGAATTTTTGAGTATTTGTACAATAATGAACACACGGAAATCCTAACACTAAGAGTTCTATTTATACCCAGTCGAAATAATTGTCTTCAACGGACATTTCTCCAAAAATTATGACGTTTAGCTCTGCATGCCTTCATTTCGCCACGGCTCTCCACGCATATTTTCTTAGAAACGAATAAGGACAAAAGACACTTATTTATCAGTATTTTGAATTTCAAAATTTTTGTTGAAGGAAGACTTCAACATCCTCCGTCGAAATTACTTTCTATACTAAAAAAATATCTCTAAGTATTGTCTAAACATCTCCTTCATGGAAACTACTACGACCAAACTTCTCACACAAGTTCCTGTCGAAGTCAACAAAATTCAAGAAACTTGATTTTCACTTAGTGTCTTTAAACAAAAGTCTGGCGTCGAAATTTTCAGCCAACAAATTGTCCCCTAAAAACGTCATTTTTGACTGAATAGAGAAAATGAAATTTTTTGAAGTTCACATTCAATGCCATAAACCTTTGGTCTGCTATGACATCACTATTATCATGACAACTTTTTCAAAATATATCCTCAAACCCATGCATGAATCTTTTTCAATCATCACACGTCTAGTCCCTAGGGGATCGTGGGTCAGACTTAACTGCTGTCGTCTTATCACATAACCCTTGCATGACACCCGTCCCACGATTTTCATCACTATTAATGTGTGCAGCAACCGCTTCCACTTCATCCACCTTTAAATAGAGAAAATCACAATTTTTAGAACTTTTTAGTCTCTGAACTTCCTTGAGCGCACTTTTTAATTCTTCATCTCTTTCAAATCTTTCTTCTCCAAACTTACTCCACCAATGGCTTCTTTAACCAAGACCTCCAAGGATAGCACAAGAACACTAAGGTAGGCAACCGATAATACATCCCTGAACCACCTTTTGAAGAAGAGAAGCGCATGATCTACCAACCCCAGGTACTTATTCCCATCTACGTTTCTAGTAAGACACACGCCATGTTAGGCCCTCTTCCTAACCTTGTTGTTGATCCTGATAAGGTTAAGGAATTCTTTCCTGCTTACCTTCATTATAAACCCATAGCTAGTGGTAAAAAACCTAGGGCTGGTGAGGAAATTAAAGTTGATGAGAAATTGAAAGTTGATGGTCAAGGTTCTCCTTCGATCGGGGCTTCTAGAGACCCAATTAAATTAGAGTACATGAATAATAATTTTAGGGTATTTAGTTTATGTCCCTTGTTTAAAGACC